AAATAAAATTAATTGTCAGTGTAAAATCTGAAAGAGTGTCGCATCTTTTTCGTGTTGTGTGAGGCTTTTGAGTATGTTATTAGGTGGCCTTTATGCAAATTATGCGAGTACGTGATGTACCAAATTCAGAAGCTTTAAGTACGAAAATTCTGGACGAAAAAGGTGTACAGAGCTGTAGCGACGTAGGACCATGTATGCCATGGTACAGCACGCTTACAATTACAATATTTTCCATCAGTCAGCTGTTGTTTACTTTACCCAATTTGTTTACATCGTTGTTACTACATTTATGGTAAATCCTATATTAATTATAAGTATATTATTAGCTACCTTTTGGGTAATGAAGCGTTGAAAGGACGTCAGTAGTACGGGTACATCTTAATGAGCCTTGATAGCCATGAGTCAGTTGAGAACTTAACGAGAAATGTTTAATAAACAATCAAAATTTCTGTCTTACCCACCTGAACTTAGTGTTTTTAATCCATTTTAACCAGTTTCTATGCAAACATATGTCAACGCACTCCTAACCTGGTTACTCAAAGGTATTTTTGACAATGGCATTTAGCAGGACCTATAAAAGGATCAATCCGAGACAAATGTCAGATCAGATTAACTGAACCGATTGGCATGCAAGACAAGTAATATAAGGTCTAAACTATTCACGGTCAACACAAAGTCTGATTTCGATATCGTCTTTACATTCTGTGACCATTTCGCTTGAAATATAAACTAGTTTTGGATGGAACTTTGTAGACAGACGACGTCACATAGTTCTTGTTTCTGCGTAGACAACAAACTAAGTTACAATTATGTCATCCACACAAGTATGAAGTAGTCTAAATGCTAAAACTTGGTGTCTGTTTCCTTTATAGGTACTGTGAAAATAGTAATGTCATTTGAACTTCTGTAATATGCAATGCTTATCATTGGATTAATACACTGTATGTAATAATTAGGATTCGATTTAACTCGTCGAGTACCGTCAATATAGACACAATTATAGAACAATAGGTTGCGGTCACCGGTGACCGCTTGGTGTTTGACAGTTTAAATTTAATATTACATTTTTTTCTATTTATTATTAACTAGCGACCCGCCCCGGCTTCGCACGGGTGCAATATGTATATACATACAAACCTTCCTTAGGAATCACCCTATCTATTAAAAAAAACCGCATCAAAATCCGTTGCGTAGTTTTAAAGATCTAACAATTTATGGATCACACAAAGAGTTGTTCCGTGCGGGAATCGAACCCGCGACACGTTGCACGGCAGCCGGTTGCCCAACCACCGCACCAACCGTGCAGTCTTCGACTGCCTCGCTGGCCGAGTGGTCGCAAGTGCGACTGCCATGCAAGGGGTCTCGGGTTCGATTCCCAGGTCGGGCAAAGTATTACTGGATTTAAAAAACAATCTCAGTAGTAGCACGGAGTTTGGAATTGTACCCGGTATAAGGCAATAGGCTCATCCCCTATTACATGGGATTCATAACATAAATAGTGAAAAGTGTGTGTTACTTCTGAGTGCACCTCTGCCTACCCTTTTGCGATAATAGGCGTGATGATGATGTTATGTATCTAATCTTCGTTAAAGGGAAACCTTATGTAGGTCTCACTTTACCTTATCAATCGTTTCAAACACATTATTAAAATTGATCATAAATAACATCACGCCTTTTTTACCCCCGAACGGCTAGAGGTGCACATTATGGTACTTAATGCCACTGTACAATGGCACTCAACATCCACTTTTTACTATTTATGTTATGAGTCCCATGTAGGATGTCCATATACCGGGCACATTTCCAGACTCCGTGCTACTACTGAGATTTTTTAAACCCGGGAATCGAACCCGAGACTCCTTGCCCGGCAGTCGTACTTGCGACCACTCGGCCAACGAGACAGTTTTTTTACATTAAATATAACCTTAATTTAGCAGAAGTTCTTAAAGGTGAAATTGTGTGGGTACCTAACAATGTGTATGTAGGTAAATCCTCTATTATTAATATCCAGACATCTCTATATGTCTTAGGCAATCTAGGTAATGAAATTGAATTATTCGATTATTCCATATCAGCTAACAGCTGTTTATTAGATTTGAGAAAGCTTATCCAATTAATTAGGACTATTTGAATCTGTAGAGGTTTTGTGGTAATATTACTTAACCCTATCTTAAAGGATAAACTTCGGTGAGAGGTTGTTATCAGGTAAATTGGGCAGGTTTTTTATTCTTTTAGTGTTTTCGGGTTCTTACAAAAGATGTAGGTAAATGAAGATTGTAGTAAAATTTAGTTTAATTATGCGGGTACTAGTTAGGTAGGCTTGTTATTTAACTGTCAAACACCAAGCGGTCACCGGTGACCTCAACCTATTGTTCTATAATTGTGTCTATAATGACGGTACTCGACGAGTTAAGTGGGTGAAAATTAGGATATCGATGGGGTTCGGTTGCAAAAATTACTAGTTGAATTAACGTTAACCCAGTGTGCTGTCTGTATTAGGCTTGCCCTCTATCACCTACATGGAATTCATAAGTTTACAAGTATAAAGTGGGTGTTCCATTTAATTTCTGCACTTCTGTCTATCTTTTTAAGGTATAAAAGAAGGTCCTTCGCTATTTGGTTGACCTTTTCCCAGACCTACGTTGCAGCTTCCGACCAGACTCATTTTTATGTACGAGACGTCTCACAACCGTGTTTCTCCAAACATGTGCTCAATTGTGGCCCGTCCTCAATGAAATCGCACTCAAAGCAATTTGGACCAAATATATTATTCATAATGAAAACAAATTTATTCAGAGGAAATGTGTGAAAAGCAAGTTACCTATATAGATATGTGGAAATGTAGGTACCTACATAGATACTTTCGATTCGTTATTTCCGAAGCACGTGGGTCAAAACCAAATGAAATAATAATTCTTAATTTAGCAGATAATTACCTACATTTAAATAAAGAAATTATTTTGCTACTACTTGATCTCGCGGCTCCACACGATGTTGTGGTGGCCCGGAGGTTTAAGACGCCCGCCTGTCATGCATGAGGGTGCGAGTTCGAAACATACCAAGGGTAAGTAACAATGTGACTTCTTCCAAGTTACATATATATACTTTCTAAGATTATCTAGACACTACTGACAAACAGTGAAAGAAAACATCGTGAGGAAACGCGGGCTTAGAATTTGTAATTACAAGTTTGAAATCGCCAGCCTGCATATGGCAAGCGTGGTGATTAATGCTCAAACCTTCTCAGTGAGAGAAGAGGCCTTTGGTCACCAGTGGCTACTTATAGGTGGTTGATGTGTGTGTAATCTCGCGGAGCATTTCACAAAAATCATAAAAAAATTTCAAATGACTTTAAAGGCTTCATATCTCGCCTTTTGTATTGCGGTATCATTTACTATAAATTGATCCTGTTCCTAATTTTTCTCCCAATCCCATATAAAAGTATAAAATCTGAACCAATTAAATATTTTCATCACAACAAAGTTTCCTTTTTTTCTTTTCTCTACATCCACTATTTCACTGCTGCACCCTAACAAAAGAACTCTATAAAAGCATTAAATATTCCGTCATTGTACCCTAAACTTTATACTAGGTTTAAAAAAACGCATACATTTAAAAATGAATATTAATAATACTCTATTAAGTTTGAAAATAAAACTGCAGTTATTTGAAAAGCTATTTTACAGTGAATGAAACCTTTTAAGCACGTTCCTTCCTTGCATACAAATTAAAGAAGAGGATTTAATGAGCGATGCTATAATTATTACTGAGTATTGTATTCATTAATATTTTAATAATATGTGTGGTTTAATTTAAAATAATAAATTAACAGGTTTTATTGCAAAATGGAAATGAAGCGAAACTCGTACTTAAAAACTTCAAGTAACAATTTGGGAAACTCCAAACCGAGTTTTTTGTTATGGATTTTTTTTTATTAAGGGCGGATTATCATCGAATGACTGCTCCCGCCTGGGTGAAGGGGGAGGGAGTGTCAGACTCTTACTGACTAAAAACTAGCGTTCCTTCTCCTGCACGTCTAGCCGGAGCCCCGGTAACCAGTTAGGTTCTACGCGACTTTTTTATGGAATAAGATTGTAAACGAGCAGACTGATCACATGATGGCAAGCGGCTTCGTCTAAGGACACCTGGAACACCACAGGCGTCACAAGCGAAGTATGGCTCTCCGTCTCCCACTTACTGAATTGTGTGAGCGTGGTGATTAATGCCCATTCCTTCTCGATTTTAAAAGGGACATGTGCCAAACATTCTGTAAATGCCCCACGCATTTACACAATAATGATGATGCTGATGATGAGGGAGTTTGGTGCGTTAAATGACTTTTATGGTCTTCAGATTTTGCAAAATTATGTTTTTGAATTTGTTTTTAAATTTTCAGTGAAACTTCTTTAAGCCTTTTAGCCTGAAATGTTTACAGGTCTATGTTAATGGATTTGGTCTCATTACATGAAACTGTTATAATAACTAAACGTGGGTGTATTATTGTCTGGTCTCTGCTTGTTCCTTTGGGACATGATAAGTTATGTTAATGTTGCTAAAATTAAAATATTAATAGTTATATTTTGGGTACCGAAGTTCGAAGTAAGTGCTTTATAAGGTAACTGAAAACTCCCAACTAATTTATGAATAATTAAAAAAACAGTACCCTTACTTTCAGGCAATTACAAGTACCGTCGTACGAACAAACTCACAAAATACATAACATTTAACTTCACAAAAAAATACAATAAATGACATCATATTCTTATTTTAAAAATATCCTCATATTTTTGCCAGCAAATGACAAAAATGCATTCTCATTGTAACCTGTCATTAACAAAAAAAAAAAGAAATATAATAATGACAAATTCTTTTTTTAATTATCCCAGGAAATACGTCAAGCCATCGGCTGAATGCCACTTACGCGTGCGTGGCTCCGCCCACAGCCCGCCCAACGCTGGCCTATAAATGTTGGCGCCAGCTACTTCGCATTTCACTCCTAACTTGGTGCACTTTCGCGCTCTCCGATCTTTCGAAGTTCGAAAAGTTTCGACGTCGTCTCTCCGCTGAGAAGATAAAAGGTAAGTGGGGAAATCCGTGGAAAATTATTGTTGGAAAATCGGAAAATATTATGATTTTTCTTTATTTAAATGTGTAAGGAATTGGAGAATTTAAGGGGGTTTTTATTAAATTCAGAGCAGAAAAATTAAAAAATACCTTAGATATTTGTAAAACAAAAAAATATTGTAATTCTTATTACAAAAAGAAATAATTTAGAACAGGAATTTCCGAAGCTTATATTCGAATGTGATTCTTTTCAAGTAAAATATTACTTGAAAGTTAGTGAAACTTAATTTTTAGAAGTTGAATATCAATACACTTGTTACAGAACCAATAATAATTAATAATAAAAGGTTTGTCGGTTATAAATATTCATGTGAAAGTAGATTTCGCGTAATTTTGTCTCCAAATTTTACACATTCTGGTAGTGGAAGTGACTGCGATGCTTTCCTATGTAGGTAAAAATGTCAAAAATTTTTATTGTGTGTTTATGAACCACATAAACTGAACTCAATGGAAAAAATAAATCTGTATAATATAATATTTGCTCTTCACGAAGTCTTTTTATAATTCTTCATCTTTTTTTAAAAAAAATTGCTGTCATATAGAAAAAGGCATTGTAAAAAAAAATTAACGATTAATGCAAACCAGCATTCGTTCTTAAAAAAAAATAACTTTACACTATAGAACACAAGTCAAAGTCAAATCATTTATTTTAATTAAACCATAATTTGGTACCTACTTTTGAAACGTCAACAAATACAAAATAAATAATAGTCTGTCAGTGTCTCCGTCAGTGAAGTTAGGTGCTCATTCCAAAATATACGAGAAAACAATTACTTAATCAAAAATACCCTGCAGTGAGACATAAACCGATTATTATTATTTTCTATATCTTGCTATCGATGTTTTGCAAAGCCTTACACTGTGGGAGAAATCTCTAGAGCTGTAATCCAAAGGCTTATGTCTTTCTCAAATACTTAGGTGTAAACAATAATCGATCGTACCTCTATTTGTTTGTATCTACATAACATTATTGTATAATACACGTAAAGTGCAAAAACATTAAATTGTACTTACCTTGTTATAATGTAGGAATATGAGTTCACGTTCGCAAAAAGTCCACGTTTAGTACCTACAGTTTTTTTTTGACCCCAATGTGAGAAAACTTTATAAAAACCCTCGTTTGGGATGGTAAAAAGAACAAATTTAATACAGTTGGACCAAATAAAGTAGAAGCTAAAATGATAGTTAGTGAAATCCTTTTAAAAATTTAAGACGAACATATTTATCTTGTACTTGGGTATTGTTCAACGCTAGAAAAAAAAAAAAACAGAAAAAAATATCTCAATTATTTTCTAAAAACCTCTTTTTAATTTATTAATTTTAAAATCCGTGTAAAGAATAAAAAGTAATAAAGCTGTACAATGCACAACGTTCTTGTAATATATTCAGCCATACAAACTAGATGAACTCCTTATAAGTAGTGGACCGAGCCTTTATGAACTTTTTAATCTATGGTATTAAAAAGCGTACTATCTTAAAAAATGCAAAGATGGAGCACACACTAAGATCTGAAAGTCTTTTCAGATTTTTTGATCGAACAGAGGTTTCATAATTAGTTTAATTAGTTATTTTAGTCTGCCTCTGTGGCCAAATGACTGTAAGAGCGATGGGTAAGCAAGGAGTTCGACTTTCGAGTTTCGTGAAAAAATGTTAGAGCCTTTCAGATGCAATTGCATCGTGTTTGGATTTCTTTAAGATGTGTAGGTACTTGTTTTGACAATGGGGTCACTGGTCACCGCTCATAAATCTTATTTTATTCTTTATATTATTTATACTATTATTATATATAAAGCTGAAGAGTGTGTTTGTTTGAACGCGTTTATCTCTGGAACTACTGATTAATTTGAAAAAAACTTTTTTTGTTGGATAGTCTATTTATTGGGGAAAACTATAAGTTATAAAACATCACGACGAGACCAATGAGAACTGAGCAGAGCAAGTGAAACCGCTCGGGACAAGCGGGGGCTTATAAAATAACTTGAAATGTCTCTCTCTGACTACCCTGACTACCCTGTCAGGGAATAAAAAGAGAAAGGTATATTATGTTTTGTATTATTATTTCCCTTTTTATAACAAAGAAGACCACGTAAAAGATAATATGGAACGTCCCAATTACCACCTGCGTATTAATTAATAATCTTGGTATTTTTTAATTGGAATTCGTATCCATAATTTTATTTGATCAAAACAAAATCCCCTGTTAAAAACTGTTCGAGATTTATGGTAAAGGATAGATAGATGTTTTTTCTAAATAAAAGATGATCTAACTATTAATTGGTTGTAGTTAAATGAAATATGGTGGTCGTTATTTATTATTTTAGGTACATACGGCTACACATCGAGCTTTACATAACCAGTATAAACTGAACGGTAAATGTGCGGAAAGATGATGCGACGCGACACCAGGATAAACTGGTTTTGTATAGATTGATGTGTGGCCGTGTGTATATCATGATAAAACCTCATTAGTACTTTTCCTGGCTCGCGAAATGAAACTCGAGAACTTTTGCTCGGTAGTCACTCACAACCTCTCGTCCAATGTAGCTGTTCTATATTACGTGAATATATTTATTTAACTGATAAAAAAATAGAAGTGTAGAATACATTCTTCGCATATTTTTTCTAAATGGTAAAAAGATATAGTAAAAAGTTATGCGTCAGATCTCGACAACTGTCATTCCGTTTACTACTCGTTCATTCGAAAGTAAAAATGTCAAATATTTTCTCTCAGTACTGTAACGTCACTCACTTATCCTTTGACTGGTGTAAACGTCAGTATCTATTTGAGTCACTTATGTTGTTATAGCAACTATTAAACATGTTACGAGATCCCGGGTTATTTAATTTTGTAGGGTTGAAGACAACTAGACAAATTGTATACTTTTTTCGAAATGTCAAATGCTTGTATGACTTTTGTAACTCTTCCTGTTCACTGTTGACGTTATGGCATCAACCAATTATGTAATTGCAGCGTCATTATTTGTCAAAACTCATAGAATGAAAATAGTATAGGTGTTGGTAGAAAACCTCTGGTGTTCTAGGTGTCCATGGGCGACGCCGATTGCTTACCATCAGGTGATCCGTCCGCTCGTTTACCGGCTTATGCTATAAAACAACCACGTAAAAAGGCAGTATTTAAAAAAAACTCAATTTATTCAGACTTCAATTTATTATGTTCAATTCCCTATTAAAGGAATGAAAGAGATTAAAACCACATTGTCTCTTTGTACCGGACAATACTGATGAATTAATTATAATTATTATGAATGCCAGTGTTAGTGTGTTTGTCTGTTTGTGTCTCTCGTCGCTAAAGGCGATTTTATGGTATTATTTTTATGTCTGGAAATAAAACCATGAAGAAAAGTAGACCAAAAATAATAACCGATTTTAGCCCTTAGAGTGCCACTTATTGGTTTTTGCCATTTTAAATTTGGCAGTTTACGTGTTTCAAAACATTTGTATTCAGATATAATTATTACATAACATAACAGCACGCCTTTTGTCCCCGAAGGCGTAGGCAGAGGTACCTACACCTTTCACTACTTATGTTATGAGTCCCATGTAATAGGAGGTGAGCCTATTGCCATATACCGGGCACAATTCCAGACTACGTGCTACTACTGAGATATTTTTTTTCAAACCCAATAATACTTTGCCTGATCCGGGAATCGAACCCGAGATCCTTGCCCAGCAGTCGCACTTGCGACCACTCGGCCAACGCGGCAGACGAATTATTAACTAAACGAATTATTAAAACATTATTTCTTCGAGTTTCTATTATAAACTTAAATCGACCGAAAAAGTACGTTTATATTTTTGCACGTTGCTAGATTTTTTCCTTTAACAACACGAGCAAAGCAAAGGGCGAGAAGCTAGTCAATTTAATTTAAAACTAGCTTCTGAAAAAATATATAACTACCGACAATTTTTTTTTTTGATTCGGACTCAGAATCGATGGTCGAGTTACCTCCTAGAAAATGACGCGGCTTTAAAACAACACCTTGTATACATAGATAATTGGAAAAAAAATATCGGCTATAAAGGGTTAATTGGTTGCTTATGAACATATTGCTTATAAGCCAATATTAATTACAAATATTAAATTCTTTATTTGATCTACTTTCATTTGATTGAATGTTAATGATTTCATTGGATTTTAATTTGTTCAAAGGAAACCTTTGTATAAAGGAATTAGCTTTGATCCATTCATGTTGTTTGCTTCAATTCTAGATTTATTTGTTCCTGTTATATTTACAATTTGTGTTTAATTTATGTTAATGTTTGGTTTAAAAAACGTTTTGTTGATATTTCTGTATCGGTTATACGTCGATTCGTAAAGAATAGTTATATAGTATTATAGAAGATAATATGTATATAGTACTTTTAACCGATATTCAAATTCAAGAAATCCTAAAATGGATTGTACGTATACTTAGTTGTTCCAGGAACTGTGTTCTTACTTAAATCCATTCGGACGCAATTACACCAATATTTATTTGTTTGTTCAACGAATGTCGTTATTCTTCACGGATTATCTCAATTTATAAGGGTTTAGTGTACTATACGATTCTAAACTACGAACACGCACCAAGTCACAATAACAAATGTCACCCTTTTTCTCGTTAAGTTCTTTAAACATTTTGAAAAATGTTATCGTTTCAAAATGTCAACGATGTCAGCTTCAAAATATCAACCATAAAAATACAAAATAACATTATCATCAATCAGCTTGTTGAACGAAAATATTTGCATATAAAATCGACACATTTATCGGTTTTATGTGTTTAACAATCGAATTAAAAACTACGTGGAGTCCTCAATTCGTATTTGTTCACAGAATACGCTATCATACGATAGAGCACACAGAATACTTGTTTTCGACAGAACAACAAACGTTTGTTTTCGTCGATGCCCAATTAATCGAACTCACCGGAGTTCGACGCGTATTTTTATA